ACTTCCTTTTTTAGTTTCTTCGTCCACTTCTTCATTTTTTTATTTCACAATGCCTTTTAATCCAAACTAATGATACATTGATTTTTTGAGTTTGAAGTTCATGAAGTTTAGTAATTATATTGGTTAAAATATAATTACTATTGACCTGGTGGATATTTTTTAATTTCATTGCAGCAATTTCATTTCATTCAGCAGTTTCATCTTACTTCAATGGTTTTCAATATTAAATTAACCAAAAAGACTATATAGATACATTTCTAAACATATTTGTTATACCTACTTTGAACGTAAAATAACACCTTATAAATAAATGCAATTTGCATTTTTTATATTTATATTTGCAATGCAAGATAAGTATAATTTTACTTTCAATATTCATAAATATTTAAAATGCCTTCAATATAAATGCTGTTCTATGTAGATTGGGAAAGAATACGTTACAAAAAGAATGTTCACTTACATTCACTTAACCTTTACTCATTCAATATTGATTCTGATAGTTTATTACTCTAATAAACAACAGTTAATAAGACAACAGTAAGAAACGCTTTGATGCTTTTATTTTCATTGTGTTTTCAGCTAATTGTTAAAATACTCATATCGTTGAAATGATTTAAGTATATTAGTACATATCGTTTAAACGATAACTTTGCCCATTTGTTCGTAATATAACTACGTTTTATCGAAATAAGTATACCAGGTGGTCTAATAATAACCTCCTTTGAAATGAAATTCCAAAAAAACCTTTTATTTTACTCAATAGTCTCCTTTTAGTACAATATAACGATTTCAACGATTTTTCAACTTCTTTATGCCGTCCGAATAATACGATTCTGGAATTTCTGCAAAATAAGCGTTTGTGACGTCAATGATGTCTTCGTTTGTCCTGAATTTTCTATTTACGAGCCGTCTTTTCAGATTTCGGAATGCATAATAATCAGATCAGTCCAAATCAGGAGAATAATTAGGGTCAATTATAGACTCTAGCCGAGCTCGACTCCAACAAAACGAAATATATGAAAATAAGCACGCAACCACAAATACTATGACCACTTGTAGAAAACGACGTCATTGAAGCAGTGAACGAATTTGTATACTTGTGAGCTCTCCTTAACACTGAAAATAATACTACCACAGAATTTGCACGACCAATCTGTTTTGGACTCAATCTCCTCCTCAGGCTCAATAAAACTGTACGAAATAATAAAATATTCCCAGTCCTAACATATGGTTCAGAGACCCATCATCTTCAGGGGCATTTCGTCAGTTGTGGCCTATCCGACATAGTAGAATGTCATAAATGTAAAATTTGGACATAACAATACAAAATACAATACACTAAGACAAACAAACACTTTAAAATTTATAAGGAGAAGCTACATGTTGTATAGAAGCCGGAGACAAAATGAGTCAATGAGTCAGATGAAAGTCAATCAATATAACACCAACATTCTGTCTAAGGCTTCTATACAACATGTAGCTTCTCCTTATAAATTTTAAAGTGTTTGTTTGTCTTAGTGTATTGTATTTTGTATTGTTATGTCCAAATTTTACATTTATGACATTCTACTATGTCGGATAGGCCACAACTGACGAAATGCCCCTGAAGATGATCTATTGATCGAAAGTACTTGGGCAAGATTAAATTAATCACCGTGTTCGATAGTTGCTTTGTATACCCTCAAAGTTTAAATAATAAATGTATTAGGTGGACTCCGTGCACCCACTTACCTACGAAACTAAATCAGCCTGATCTTTCTTCTGTTCAGAGGTATTATTTTGTCAGGAAACGTGTTAGGAGCCGACAAATAAAATTCATACATAAAACAAAATCAATATATTCAACAACACAATGATATAGGCGGCTGAATGTACACACTTCTTCTTCTTATGGTGCCTATCCGTTACGGATGTTGGACACTAACATGGCTATTCTGACTTTATTGACTGCTACCCTGAAAAGTCCGGTAGTGGTTAAGTTAAACCACTTTCGCAGGTTATGCAGCCAGGATATTCTTCTCCGTCCTGGACCTCTTTTCCCATGCACTTTACCTTGAAGTATGGTCCGATGTACACACAAGTAATAAAAATACACCATGAATTATTAAATGGTGGTATACATATAAAAATAAACAGTAACATGATTGAGAAATAACTTGACAAATACAATGATAGCGATTAAAAATATTCAACTCATACTGATTGAAGAAAGCTCTCTTTGCTGTTTATTTGGATTATCGATAACGGGTACGGTAAATAAAAAAGATTACAGGAATTCAAAGAATACAAAAAGATTACAGGAATAAAAATTAAACCAACCCCCACAGGTTAAGTTAATTATCTGTTCGCACTGTTGTTTAATGATTACTGTTCTTACTGAGAATTAAATGTTCGTTATAATTATTTATTAGAAGTTCCTGATAGCTGATTGAAAGTTCGTATGAAAAGATTAAATGTTCTTTAAATTAAAGGCACAATCAGTAGTTAACCCTACCTACAGGTGAAGAAATAATCGAATGCAGATTCGCCCAGATAGTTGAAGATAATATGATTACCATAATATTCTCCTAGATAATTGAAGGTAATTGATTTCGATAACTTACAGTAATTGTCGATGACTGTTTCTTTAAACTGATTTTACATACTATACTTGTATCAAGCACTCAAGTTATTTAAATTAAAAGGTACTTAATAACGATGTTTAATCTAATATGGTATTACATTAAAAAACTCAAATATTTAAGTGTATACACACTTAAAGAAAAAATTAGCAGAGACGGTAAATTTAGCAAGCGTCTTTCCTCAAAGACGACCCTGCCAGAAGTAAAGTTCCTACTCTAAAAATTTATGAAACTACCCAAAAATAAGATGGGATATCTCCCACTCAAAACGACAGGCCAGCCTGTATGAATTTCTAAGAAAGTGAGGTTCTAACGAACATAGAAAATAACGGTACTCTTCTAGTTAGGAACGTGAGGAGATATTCAACCATTTGGATTAGGTTTTTACAGAAAAATACAATAAAATGCTTTCGACGATTTTGCCTGCCAAAGCATGAAACAAAGAATTAACCAAGGATTACCTAAACCGTCGTCTCTAATAAGTATATTCTTCCGTCATCTGAGAATTTCCGTGATATTTCGGTAGGTCCCAATAAAATTTAACAATCTATATGCAAAAACGCCATGGGCGTATCAACAACGGAGGTAAAAGAATTAAAAATTATATAATATTTCAATTATATAAAAAAATGTTACAACATTAAGATAGGACGTCTGAGGTGGATAGGGCATATAATGCGGATGGAACAAAGTGACCCAGCTAGAAAAACGCTCCTTGATAGACCTTGATTGGTCAGAGAAGAAGAGGAAGACCTAGAACAAGGTTCCTTGATAACATCTTTCTATATGGTCTATAAAATAGTTTTTGTTGTGCAAGATTTAAAAAAAAAATAGATTGAAAAATTATTATGCGAAATCTATTGAATCTTACCTGGGTGGAGATTTTCGTTTATTAAAAAATTTATAAATGAAAATAATTTCTATCCTTGTGCGACTGGTATTCACCGGAGGGACCGCAGACGTTCGGATACAATTAGCGTCTCTTAGCAAAGACAATGACGTCGACTTTGCTAAGTATCAAGACAATTACTCTACACACACAGACATTACATTAGGTACCTGACTGTACCATGCCAATGATCATAGTTGTCGAGGCATTAACTCAATAATAATAATATAAATCGATTTTAATGACATTTGATAGGATGTAAAGATTTTTCCAGACGAGTTATAAGGTCTTAAGTGTAATCTAAGTGGTTGAAAAACATTAAATACGAAAAGACTTGCTTCCCCCTCTTTTTTGATATTTATTGCTATTTTGCATCTAGGGTAATAAATTAAAACATTATTAAGCAGTTGTATCTATATATAACAAGCGAGTCTTCTACAGCTGGCGCCGCTTCTCGCATCCTAATTTCCAGCGTTTTCTGTTGAAACAATCTTCAGTTGTTAGATCTCTGGCGCTCATTGCATCGTCGACATCGTCTCTCCAGGATCGTCTTGGTCTACCTCGTTATCTTCTAGTTGGCGGAGTCCGTTCTTCTATTTTCTTGGCCATCTATTTTCCGGCATTCTCTGAAGGTGTCCATACCAGTTAAGTCTTTTGGCTTCGATTGTGTCTATGACGTCTAGATCGATTTCCATTTCTCTCCGAATATCTTCGTTTCTCACCCTATCAAGTCTAGTGAGCTGGCAACATCGTCTCCAGTAGTTCATTTCTATGGCCTTAATTTTTGATTGGTTTCTTTGGTTTATTTCCCAGAGTTCGGCGCCGTACAGCCCAATACTTAAAATTACCAAGTATTATACACCAAGTATTTAAAATTGTCTGTTGGTTTTATAGTTCCCATTTCGATTTGTAGGCTTTCTGGTTTTTCTCCTACAACTAAGTACTCAGTTTTTTCTATATTAATTGGGAGGCCCTATTTTTTGTACTCATCTTCCAGTTTTCTAAGCATGTAGCCTACATCACTCTCGTCTTCAGCTAGAATTGCTTGGTCGTCAGCGAAGTGTATCGTGTACAAACTATCATAGATAGATAGATATCAATCTATATCTCTAGATAGATAGATAGACCAGTAGTTGTATCTTATAGATAATTTAATTGTCGCTATTTTATTTTATTATGATTTTGTTTCAAAAGGAATTGTTTTAAAGTTATAAGCAAGGAAAGTAGAAAAAAATAAATGTATTTAATCATTTTTAAATAATTTAATTTATTTTATTAATGTTTCCGACCTAATTGAGAGGAAGGATAAGTCGATTGTTATTACTGAAGTTATCACCTAACCATTTTTGCAAAAATTCGAATGTCACCTTTCACATCCATCTCAAATCAGATCCGCCCTGGTGTATAGATAATATTGTAACACTTTGTAAACTAAATAAAGCAATTTTTAATAGAAGCCCTTTTCTGAACAAAGCCTTTTTATTTTACAGATAGTGTACAAGGTCAGAATGATATCCGACAGTTGGAAGAAATGCTTCAAGGAGATCTCTATGGAAACTTATCAAATGCACATACGTTTGATGAATGGAGCATATCAAACGAATCTGAATCCGAAGAAGTCGTCAGTCCTCCAACACCTCCAATGAGGGTTGATTCCTTGCCTGGTGATGAACAAGAAGCGGAAAAAGAAAAAACTGATCAACTGAAGTCACGATCGAATTGGTTTACACAAGGTAAGAAAAAAAAGGATTCAATTTAATAAACATGTAGATTAGTATACGAAACTTTTGAATTTTAAGTTTTCAAATTTCATTTGTATTTTTTGCCTTATAATGCCGATACTGCACGACTTCTTGCCGTTAGGAATCTATAGGAGTGGCGACTATTTGTAAGCCGGCCAAGATCCACAACTGATGGTCGAGCCACTTATGATAATGATGGCATCCAGAGTTTTACCCCACAACACCAGTCTACTTTCTACCAGCGCAATTAAAAATTCACCATCTATATTTGCTGTCATTATGTACGTGCCACTGGATTCACTGGTAACACAAGACTGACAAGACTACTGTCGTTCGTTAAGTGTGCAAGCATTGATTATATATATTATAGTCCGTGCAAGCACTCTTGACCACGACGCAGTAGACGAAATTTGGTTTAGTTTCCACTTCCATGCGAAACGCACTGTACTATGCAACGTGAAAATGTCGACTTGAAAATTTTTTGTTGTGTTTCTGACTTTGAGGTGTTAACTTCAATAAGTTTGTGTGTTTTCTCCCGTTTACCTGTTGCGTATTCAAATTTAGTAAAAGCGGTCAAAAGGTAGGTACTTTATCATAAATTAAAATACATTAAGGAGCATTAAGGAAATTTTAATAAAATTTTTTCATTTCTTTTTTGTTTTGAGACTGGTGCAAAACAAAAATTACTTGCAGTCTGTTTCAATGAATCGGATAATATTTGATATTGAAAATATTTTATTTTAAACTACTTCATATGTTACGATTTATGTTGATTTGAATTTATATTTTTTTGAAATCTTTGTTTTTTTTAATATTTTTATATTTTCATTTTCTTCACAATGCCATCACAATTAATAACAGCGTGTTATTTACAGTCAGGCCGACATATTGTTTACAATGTGTATAGTTTTTAAAAAAGGAGCAAGAAAAAAGCAACACAAAATCTTCGGTTTTAAATATGGTTGTGGAAGCCACTGAAATTTCTAAAAGTAGCGTCCAAAGAATCATTAATGAAGGAGGGAGAGTTTCCGATTTTTCATCTCCTTCAGGCAGCTCGGGAAATGTCTTTAAATCTCCCAGAAAAAAGATTAATCAGCCAAAACCGAAAACCAACGTCGATGGTTATGAGGGAGAAATTATAAGAAACACAGTGCATACTTTTGCAATGATGCATGGCAGGAGGCCTACAATGTCAGCTGTTTACAACGCTGTTAAGAATGAGATTAATTTCCAAGGTAAACTATCGTCGTTCAGAAAAGTGTTGAAGAAATTAGGTTTTAAATGGCAAAAAACAAATGACAACCGAAAAATACTCATGGAAAAAACGGATATTCGAGCCAAACGAACCGAATATCTAAAAAAAATATAGAGCTGGGGGTTATGATGTTATCTACACTGATGAAACGTATCTCCACAGCAGCAACCTTTTAAGGAATTCAGGTATATAACTAAATCCAACTAATTACTAAAAGGAAATCCACGTATAGGTAGGTAGAACCTTATTATTGTTCTATTGTTTTTAATTGTTCTTATCTAACCTCATTGCAATTCCTAGTAATCTCTGATTTCTGGTAGATATGACGTATGGAGAATTCCAAACAAATTATAAATCAATCATTAGCATTCAACAAATCAGTAAACAAATTATCACTAAATCAAATTATTCGCTGTACCCTCTTTTGAATATCTTTTAATTTACCGTCCTAAGTACACTTATAAATAAATAAAAAATTAGTTAATTTGTAAATAATTTGTAAGTAGGTACAACTGTTTAGAAATTTTAAAAATAAATTATTAAATTAAATGTGTATTAGTTATTCATCTCATAATATTAGTTATATGTCTTAACTTAAAATAAGAAATTTAAAATATAAACTTATAAACAATAATTTTGCAATAAATAATAGGGCTTTTTCCACGTTTAATGCCGAAAGTTGAGTTTAAAATACCAAATAAAAGCCAGTTTTAAAAAAAAATGAACAAAAATCATTGAAAATATGAACGAAATGCACATAAAAACCATTTTGGTTATGCACCGTGCAATTTTTTACTTATTACTCAGTCCAACACTGTAATTATTTCAACAATTTCGAGGTTGCAGTCGAAGGTAGAACGTTTTAGTTTGGTTAGTATAATTCCACTTACAATAGAATCGTTCTGCCTTTACGTGAATTTTGACTCCGCCTTCGCGCAGCTACATGGTCAAGAGTGCTTGCAAGTACTATAACAAGGCACGACACGACCATCGTCCATTGCAGTGGCATTGGGGTATTGGACGGTAGCCGAACGGCAACGGCACGACTGTTAGTCGTGGTCGTCCTTTGTAAAAGTCACCGTATATTACTTTATTTGACTAATGAAATGTACAGCTAACTGTCGTTACGACGATTTGTCGTAATGACCAAAGTCGATTTGTTTGAAAGGAGTCTTAGAGATAAGATTCGCAGACGACACCGCTGTTTTTGCAGACAGTCTAGAAGCATTGCAACGCTTATTAAATAGATTACATCAAGTCAGTATCCAATATCTACTACAAATGAACGTTAAGAAAACCAAGTGCATGATTATTTCCAAGCAACATACACTAGGAAGGCTAGATATCGAGGGAAAACAAGTAGAAATAGTGAATAACTACAAATATCTGGGAACCTGGGTAAATGAAAACAATGAACAAGGTAGAGAAATAAGGACACGCATTGAAATTGCAAGACAAGCATTTATAAAAATTAAAACAATGTTTCGTCAATCGAGACCTTCCTCTAGATCTGAGGATAAAAGCCTTGAGATGCTACGTGTTCTCGACTTTGTTGTATGGAATGGAAAGCTGGACACTAAAAGTGGATAATATAAAGAAGTTGGCATCATTTGAGATGTGGTGCTATAGAAGGATTTTGAAAATACCATGGACCCAACCAGTTACAAATGCAGAAGTGTTAAGAAGGCTACAAAAGGATTGCGAGGTCATAAAGCACATCAAAACAAGAAAGCTAGAATATTTAGGCCACATTACCAGAGGTGCGACATAAATATGATATATTAAGGCTCATAATGCAAGGTAAAATCAAGGGTAAAAGATCCATAGGAAGACTAAGAATTTCCTGGCTGAGAAACCTAAGAGAGTGGTATAGTTGCAGCTTAGTAGATCTTTTTAGAGCAGCTGCCAATAAGGTACGGATAGTTGTGATGGTGTGATGATAGCCAACCTCCGATAGAAGAAGGAACTACAAGAAGAAGAAGTGTTAGAGAGGTTCTGAAATTGTTTTCTTGCATAATCCGTAAGTTAATTATTATTTTATGTGAGATAAAACCACAATGAATTTTAATAAAAATGTTAAATGTAACATTTGTTTTTGACGTGTCCGTTTTAAAATCCGGAAATCGTTTTCAAATAACTGTTTTTATTTTAGAGACTATTTAAAGAATTTCTCCTGTAGCAATTCATGTTCTCTTAGTTTTGCGTTTTAGAAATTTCGTCTTTTTATTGGTGATTTGTGCATTAAACCAAATTGTATACTTCCCGTCAGATTTATTGTGGCTTAAATTATGGTTTTAATTTTTAAATTATCGAGACTGTACAACGTGATTTTTATTAAATACGTGTAAAATAGACTTGTCAAAGAGTTTTTTAAATGGAGTACATGACATATATTTTAATTTAATTTATGAAAAAATACTGATACAAGGATCGGTCACAAACACGTTTGAATATAATATATATTCAGAAAATATAATTTTTTATAGAGAAATACGTTGTCAGTTATCCGTTATCTTCTTCTTCGTCCTTATAAATAAACCCCCAAGGCCTGTTTCCTCTTTAATATTAACCTTCTGCACTACTTAAATTGTCACACCATTTTCCTTGGTCTTGCAGCACTTTTACGACCAATTGGTGATATGTCTCGTGCTATTTTTACTATCCTGTCTTCTACCATTCTGCTAATGTCTTCGTTCCATTTCTGTTTTCTTTGTGTTGCCCATATATGTTACACTTTTCTAAATTAACTTTATTTAACATTAGCAATATTACAATACTTGTTTACAATAACACAATGACAACTATAAACTTCAAAAATCCCAATTACGACTGTTACAAACTGTCAACAACATCTGTTTTTATATATTTTCTGACGTTCTTCACATCTTTTCAGGAATTTTCTAAAAATTCTAGACTTTTTCGTCAAGGGACCTTTTCTATATGAAATAAATCTCACGAAACTGTCGTAGCACTGCTCAAATCTTCAACTTTAGAAAACATGCTGGAACTAACTTTTTGATGGAATTTTGATTGGCGATCCTGAAGAAGAAAATGGTAAAGAAACGACAGAAGAAATTAAACCTTTAATAAAAAATTTCGGTACGTGACGAAATTAACCAAGAAGAGATACGTGAATGGTTAGCAGCCGATGACTCAGAAAGTGAATTCATCGACCAGGACATCATTGATATGGTTCTTTATCCAGACAACCTGAGCGTATCAGACGACAAAGATGACGACCCAACAGACAGCATGAACAGCCGACGAGATTTTCAGTGCCTTAAGGATAAGAATTTTATACAGTAGTAGTTAGGGACACAATTAGGTTCTTAATTTTTGTTGTCATTGCATAACGTTTTGTCCTTTTCAGATTGCTTTACGTTTCGTCGAACGATGGAATGAGGCAAACTCACGACGTTCTGCAAATTAACGATGTAGATATATAGTTTGACATGTATGTTTCGCAGCTATATATCTACAAATCTTTATTTAATTACAAATGTCTTTAAAAAAACATGTTGTTTATTTTTCTTAATGTTATTACTTTATTCTGTATTTAATCTTCTTCTTCTTCTACGGCACTACAGCCCAAAATGAGCCTTGGCCTCCTTTATTTTTTGCCTCCACCCTTGTCTGTCTGTGGCTGCTCTTCTCCATACACGGACTCCTAAAAGTGCTTGTGCGTCGCTGCTTACTGTGTCTTCCCAGCGCTTTCTTGGCTTTCCAACTGGTCTCTTTCCCTGCATTCTGGCGTTCAGTGCTCGTTTTGGTAGCCTATCCTCTCCCATTCGTATCACATGTCCGGCCCATTGCAATCTTTGTATTCTAATGAAGTTTGACAGGGGTGTTTCCTTATACAGTTGATAGAGCTCGTTGTTATATCGAATTCTGAAGATTCCGTTTTCCCTCACAGGTCCTAGTATTCTCCTCAGTACTTTTCTTTCGAATGTGTCGAGTTTGTTTTTGGATGTTTCTTTCAGGACCCATGCTTCGCTGCCATAACATGCTATTGGCCGAATTAAAGTTTTATATATTCTCATCTTTGTATTTCGGTGGACACTTTTAGACCGAAATATATGGGAGAGGGCAAAATAAGCTTTGTTTGCCTGCGTTATCCTTTTTCGTATTTCTCCATCCTCTGCTCCATCGGCATATATTTCTACTCCCAGGTATGTAAACTTTCCAACCGTTTCAATGTCATCTTCATGTATAATGTTTTGTGGGATTATATTTCTTCTCGTCTGTACCATTATTTTTGTTTTTTCTGTGTTAATTTCCAGACCTAGCCTTTTCGTTTGTGTTTTTAACTCTGCGTATGCTTCCTGTGCTCCTGTTGATGTTCTACTCATAATATTAATATCCTGTATTTAATCACCTCTTAGTATTTTTTAATACCAATACTTTAACCAAGAATACTATAAAAACAATGTTATTTTTAACCGAAATTCTTGTTATCCGAAATGGCCTCACCCCCCCCCCCAATTAATTCGGTTAACGGAGGTTTTAGTCTAATATTTTTGTGGATACATAGTTAAATTTTGTTGATATATTTTTATTTTGTTTTTTATTCTTTTATTATGTTCTTGTTGTTTTTGTTTTGTTGCGTTTTTTTTTGCTTTTTTTGTGTTTTGTTCTATTTCTATTTTCTTAATTCTTTTTTTTTTTGTTAATTTGTGGTTATTTTTTTTTTTTAACATATTAACAGATTATGCCTATATACTATTTACAACTTGTATATACATATTTTAACATGTTTGTAAATGCAATGAAGAATTTCCATATTATTTGAAAATATTAAAAGATTAAGGTTTATTGGAAAACAACACTTAGAATTTAATAATTCCTTATAAAGTTCGTTTATATTATTAATTTGTAAATCACATTCTAATATAATATGTGTTATATCACTTATTGTGCCACAAGTACAATTGGTAGTATTTGATAATCCGATTCCATGCATGTAATACGGCGTAAGAGCATGATTTAGTCTCAGCTGATTAATGGTCTTTATAAAATGTCGATTAGATTCTGTGTATAACCATCTTCTTGAGGGTATCCTAGTGTTACAATGATAAAAGTTTAAGCCAGTCTTACATTCTCTATAATGTTGTAAATGCCAATTATTTTTAAGTTTTTGTCTACTAACGGATTCAATATCTGTCGCTGGAATTAAATTTTTGTTTACTTTTTCTCCAAGCATATATGCTGATTTAGCCAAATTGCCAACGATCTCATTGCCCTTTATTCCCGAATGGCCCTTGATCCATGTAACTATTACATTTAATCCTAATGGTATAGTTTCGTAAAGAATTTTAAGAATTTTCAATTCAATGTGGCTTATGTGTTTGACTGTTTGAATGTTGTTACATCTGTCGACCACGCTTTTACGCTTTTTATGGTAATTTTTATTTTCGTGTAACATTGCACAGCCCGTTCCATTTGTATCTTTTGACCCATCAGTAAAAATGTACTGATAATTTGTCCATTTTTCTTTAATATCTATTCAAACATATTTGGGATTAAATGTGAGGTTAAGTAACATATCCTAACCTCTCTACCTCTCTTTTCTCTTTCTCTTCTTGCCTACGTTTCTCTTCCTGCAATAACTGCTAAATCTTCGGTCTCGGCGACTAGTGCAGCGTACTCTGCATAGCATTTTATTTAGATCTCCCTGTTCCCCATTCTGTAACCTTGACCTTGATGTATTACTTGTATTTTTTGATCCATTATTATATTATTCTAATATTATATTAAATAGCATTATGCTTAACGAATCACTTAATTATTTTATTAAAGTTATGACACCTGAGAAATGCTCCAGCAGTGTATTATATACAAACCCACTACAATAAAAATATCTAATATCACCATCTAAACAATATTACAATATTATATTTTTACAAACTCATGAAGTAATGGGAGACGCCGAGTTAATTACGCATTGAGTTTTTCTTCAAGATGTCTCGTCTTTCAAATAATACAATAGAATTTAAATAAAGAAACACTATTTAGTGTGTTTAAAATGCTAAAATTAGGTTAATTTCTATGGAAACGTATGTTTGTCTTTTGCATCTTGAGAGAAAAAATGTACTTACTCAAGCGGCAACATTAAAGGTTATTTTTCGATATATTCGAATAAGTTAAAAATTCCCGTTCTTATTGATTTTATTATCTTCTACAAGGCCAAACGGTTTATTTATCTCGAGAAGACTTTTAGCCGCTTTCAAAAAACCTGTAAGGTACTATTACCATCTAGATTGCTAAAAATGGAACGTTTTGAACATTTTTGTTGTATCTTATCTGTTATATACATGGCCATTAAACTTTTTAATCTCGTGCTTTAAGTGAAGGCCGATTTATAGAGGATGACGTATTGCGTATCTAAAAAGCTCTGCCGTTTATGTCTAAAAGTTTATACATATACGGATAATAGTAACACTAATAAAAGACACACCAACAATCCGAGTATATCCAATAAATGTTCAACGCATCAGCCGCAGCAATAGCGAATATCTTAGCAAGCCCCTTGCAAAGAAAACAATTATTGATGTTACTACAGTCCAAATAACAAATACTGCTAACGACCTCCCATTTACCGGTTGCAGCCAAATTCCTGGATATAAACCGATAGCCTCACTTAAACATACTCAATAGGGTACTGCTATCTATTGCAGAACGGGCATCAAACATATCAACATAATTTACTCTTACTTGACACACGGGATTTTTATAGTTGAGCGTAATCGTTCTTTTAAGCATCTGCTACAAGGTGTTTGAAAGGATAATCTATACGAAACTTTCTTGGTTTACTAACAAAAATATCTTGGATTCATGCCAGGAAAAAGTTGCTGCTTTAAGTTCTCGCCCTAAGAATATTTATTGAGAATAGATTCCAAAAGAATCTAAACTTTTTGTAACAGTAGGACATTCACAGACCTGACCTGGTATGGAAAGAGGGTCTTTTGTTTAAAATATACCAGATCGTGTATTGACGACCATTTAATAGCCTCATAAACCAAATGCTTACTGACAAACTTTTCCAAATAAACCTCAATGAAGAAACTAGCAAATTCAGAAGTCTGCAAAACGGCCTACCACAAGAGTCAGTTCTGTTTCTCGTCTTATTCAACATTTACATATCAGATTTCCGGCTACTATCTCTGGACTGACAAAATTACCCTGGAAGTCAAACAAGAAAAAATAGATAACGCCGAATTTATCACAGAAGCAGATCTAAAAACTATAAACAAACCGTCGCGTCGACAAATTTCAACAAAACCCATCACTGCCGATAAATACAGATATCGATGAACTAGGCCAAGAACGACTGCAGCTAAAATCCAAATAACCACCAACAAGAACTGCTACCAACACGACAAATTTCAACATACTCATATGAGGAGCACTGGATGGGCGAATGAAGTTAAAAGATTAGAAATTCTGACCTTGTATAGAACCTTACAATCAAACCAAACGGCTTTTTCCTCCCTCGCCATCAATGGTGCAATCTAAACAGAATGCGAATTGGTCGTGGAGTTTGTAACAAATTTTTAAACCAATAGGTTGCTATCGCCAGTCTGGCATGTGGCAAATGCAGCTCTGTTGAACAAAAAATCAACCACATCCATTCATTAATTGCGAAGACATCGTGCGATACATCCACCAACTCACTTCCAAGGCAAGAGATTAGCTCCCAAGACTATTTATTATTATTATTGTGTCTTTAGCATACATCGAGAGTTTTAATACTTATACAAAATCATGAATAAATCAAACAGTGCCTTGGTCGTGAACACTATCACAGTTTTTCTGTGATATAACGCTATAGAATTGCATATTTTTACTATGTAATATATTTTATGTGATATATAGTTTTTTAACTTATAGTTTTAATGTCGTTGTAAATCATTTTCGATTAAATTATCTTGCAGAGAACTCTACTCCAAAGCCAGCTCCCCCAGACAACAAAAAGAGCAGTTGGTTTAAACAAGTCAAAGGGGTATTAGAAAAGGCTCCGGATGTCGTTAGAGGTTTCAAAAATAAAGACAATTCTGTGGAAAGGGCCGCCATAGCTGTGAATATGGTCATTCAGAAGAAGGGAATGTTGTACAAAGTTCAAAATGGACCAGTGGAGGATTTATTCGGAGAATACAGTGGAAGATGGTGCATTCTGGAAAGTTCAAATTTTCTTTGTTATTCCGACAATACTTGCCAAAATTTGAAGGAGAACTTTACTGGACAGAATATTTTAAGCATTCAGTTACTACAAGACAAAAAATACAATTATAAGTAAGTATTTTTATATTTTTGGTAAATTTTAATACTATCTCTTGTTTATTTCTGAATAACATACATCGGTTTTTAAGGATATAATACTTACAAAATCTTGTATGCTAATCTTTCACCTTTTTTGGTATTTTTGTAAATATTGTAAATAAGTTCACTATACCTATGCTATGGTCAATCTTGCTGTCATTCATTGCTTCTATAAGGCTGTCTATTTCCATCGTGTCGAATGCTTTATGAAAATCTATGAAAGTGAGGACAAGAGGTTTGTTGTATTCTATAGATTTTTCAATTGTAGTGTGTAGAGTATCTTTACTGTATGGAGGTGATCATTGGTACCATAATTTGAACCGAATCGTGCCTGATCTCTGGGTTTATTTTTATTAATATTTATTTCTATTATTTGGTATGTATGTATTGTTATTCTGCCTCAGCTCTCTAAGCATTTTCATTGGAGCAGCACATTGGAAATCCCATAAATAAATATGGTCTGCTGAGAACGACTTTGCGTAATGAGGCGTATTGACCATCATCAAATTAATCATCACAATATTAATGATTGATGTTTGCACAATCGACTATTTTTAAATAATTAAAGTATCTGTGTAACTCGATTAACATATCACATACTTTGGTATTTGCGTTGGCGATACTATTATCAAACTGATTGTTTTGGTATTTAAAATAAAATATAGGAAATTCTTTCCATTGTTGATTAATTTTTTTTAATATTGTTTAAGTGAGCGTGACCTAGGGATAGATAAGAACAAGTTGAATAACTAATTTTTTTAACAATATTCAATCGTTCATACATACAACCCATATTGAATTTATTTTTAGAATTTCTGGTGTTTTCGAAATTTCTACTATTTTTCTTTGTCTTCTTTTATCTGTTACTTTCTCTCCCGCATTTCTTATACCCATCTTACTTTTATTCTCTTCCACATATTGAAATAATTTTATTTTCTTTATATTATCTTTAACCTGCTGATATTCAATCTGTTATCACTCGTTAAGGGATGTTCCTTCCCTTTGCCAATATGTGAACATACTATCCTCAATTATATTTCGTTTTGCATTTAAATCCCAAATCTTTTACAATTTTGTAGACCTCACATCTCAAGTCCACTTTTACGCATATTCAAGCCTTTTCTGCAAAAGCTTCAGTGATACATGACAACCTTCACTCTCCAAACAATCATCAAAATGGAAATTGTATTTCTGGAACTGTTTGTCGTCGTCATTCAAGATTGTTACAGTTGCTTTCCGTTGAGCAGGTGTCGTAGCTGGAAATTCTTGTGAATTATTTGAATCTGCGCTTGTTAACATATTTCCTAATCGAATTATCCTTTCTACTGTGCGAACAGATATCCCAGTACCTTCGCCCACACGTTGTTTAATATTAATTCGAATACACAGTGCTGCAATTTAAAAAAATATATATCGATGACTCCGATATATCGAAACACCACTACAACAGCGGCAGCAGCAGGTAGAACAGGAAAGTCAACAACAGGAGCTGTGGGAAGATGGAGAAGATAATGAATTGGCTAGACCTCCAACGCTAGAGGAGGTTCGAACAGCAATCCAAATGCAAAAAAGCCATAAACCGCCGGGAATAGATAAGATACCGGCAGAACTGTTCAAGCAGGGAGGAACAAATTTGACAGAACAGATGTACCAGCTTATACAAGAAATATGGAGAGAAGAAAAAATCCCACAACAATGGAAGAAAAGTATAATCTGCCCTATTCATAAAAAAGGAGACAAACTGTTATGCCAGAATTATAGAGGCATCTCTTTACTTTGTTCGGGATACAAAATACTCACAAACATTCTTAATCGAAGACTTCAACCCCTCACTGAAAAAATTATCGGGGAATATCAAGCAGGGTTCAGGCAAAATAGATCTACTATTGACCAACTATTTACAGTTAAACAAATACTAGCCAAAGCATGGGAATATGACATAGACGTCTACAATCTCTTTGTAGATTTCAAGCAAGCCTATGATTCAATAGATAGAACAATACTACCTAATATATTACAAGAATTTGGCATACCATCAAAATTAATAAGACTAGTGCAAATGACAATGACAGAAACAGAAGCACATGTATGTATTCAAGGACAGATCACTGATGCGTTTATGACAACGCAAGGACTGAAACAAGGTGACGGACTGGCTCCAACACTATTTAATCTTGTTCTTGAATATGTAATTAGATGTTTGACGGTGAGCAGAAATAACATACTTACAAACAAATCTACCCAATTAGCAGCATACGCAGATGACATAAACATAATGAGCAGAACAAAGACTGCGGCAGAAGAGACCTACGTTCAGTTGAAACAGAGTTCAGAAGTTGTAGGGCTAACAATAAATACAAATAAAACAAAACTACTCATACAAACCAGATCAAATAGACAGGCGCAACAACAACAATTTATAGACGATATAGAATACGTGAATAGATTCACGTATTTAGGAATGGATCTGGTCGAAAATAATGAAGAAGAACCGGAAATAAATAGAAGGCTTATGCTGGCAAACAAAGGCTATTTCGCGATGGGCCACATATTCAAATCGCGAGACGTACACCGGAAAACAAAACTCCTGGTATATAAAACAATAATCCGACCCATAGTAAGTTATGGGTGTGAAACATGGGTTATAACACAGAAATCTACCAATGTATTAGACGTGTTCGAAAGAAAAATATTGCGTAGAATACTGGGTCCAATAAAGGAAAATAACAACTGGCGAATTAGATATAATAACGAAATATACGAACAATACACTGAACCAACGCTAGCACAATACACTAGACTGCAGAGATTACGATGGGCAGGGCATGTGGCCCGCATGCATGAGAACAGAATCCCCAGAAAATTACTAAACGCAAGAATGCAAGGAAAAAGACCTGTTGGAAGACCAAAAAAGAGATGGGAAGACGAGGTAGATGAGGATGCCAAAAATCTCCTAAAAACGCGTTCATGGAAAAGAACAGCAGTAAATAGAGATGTTTGGAGAGGTTTAATGAAGGAGGCCAAGGCCCGGCTTGGGCTGTAGTGCCATTGGATGGATGGATATATCGATGACTGAGAAGTGAAAGACATCACGTACAGATTTTTGACAAATCGATCTAATTTTTGTAAAAAAGAAAGGTATCTGTGCCTAATAACTAAAAATATTAAAAACTAACTCTATTTTAATTATCTACAACCATTATACAAATTAATATTGTTACTTGCCATTCAGTCGAAAGAAACTTCCTCTTTCTTGAGTTCTAAATGAAGATTCCTCTGGATTTCAGTCTTTCTTGAGGTTCCAGAGGTAGTCAGTCATCATAGTAGTATTCTACAGGTTTTGGAAACTTTTTAACAAGCCATTTATTTTTTCTGTATAACTAGGATTTTTTTATTCCCAAGAAACCCCTTAATTTTAAAGAAACAACTTATTTGAAGCTCCTCCATGCAGTTTTTGCTTAGTATCGATGCATTTTTCAAATTCAGTGTCGATCATTAATTGGCGAATTTGAGAACCCACAAAAATTCCACTTTTTATTTACTCAGAAGTTATTTAGGAAACTTCTTACCCAAATACTGAAAACATGATTGAGAAATAGGCTAAAATACTGTGACTGCCTAAGATACTGTGAATGTTTTGTGTTAATATCTTTCGTTTTTATAGTGTATTTTTATGTATGAGAGAGTAATAAAACAATAAATTATGTATGCAAATCCCTAAACTGTTGATACGGGTGACTCAATGAAAAACAGATATTTGTCAACAAGTTTACAGAAGTATATAGGAAAACAATTTTAAATTGAGTATGACCACCAGGTATAAAGGTTGGAGCAGAATAGAATACAATAGTTGTGAGGGTTACTAATCCCTAAATAAGGTTGTCAGTGTCGGAGTGATGGAGGTTAACAGGTACTAATGAATTTGCAAGAAATGTAAGATGTTTATTTTATTGGTTATATATAACCAATAAAAGTTTAATAAGTACCTACCTATTTGCAAAATAAAGTTTAATTCTTTAGATAAAATAAAACGTTTTATTTTATCTGAAATGAGTGCAGTCCACGAAGTAAGGATTTTAACAATCAAACATTTAATTCTTTAATTCCAGGAATCTACGACAGTAGTTGACTAGATAATTACCTTCTAAACTTATTCCACAGAAAATGTGATAGTGGGTTTTTCCATTTTGTAGGAAGGTCCAAGTGGCGTATTCAAAATTCTTAACAGTTCACTAAAAGTAGGTACTTCAGTTGCAAGGTGCAGTTTATTGTGTATAGTAGTGTTATGGAAATTTGGAAGTGCCGTGTAAACGCCGAAAAATTGGTCCTTTAACAGTAAATGAAAAACATTAATATTTAATTGTTTTAAATCATTTACAGACAAACGTTTATGTGAAAGTGTTGATGAGACCGTTGAGTTAGTTAGCAGTACACTTGTCTAAAGAATTCTTCTTTAGACAAGAATTTCCAACATTGGATAAAGTTCTTGTCTCAGTTCGAGATGATAAGGATTACCCAGAAATGAGTCGAAGTACGTTATGGAAACTTTTAAAAGAAATAAGCTTCCGCTGGAAAAAGAATCCCAGAAAGTCTATTTTATTAGAAAGAAGCAATATTGTCATATGGAGAAGACATTTTCTAAGAACCATAAAGGAAATGAGAAACCAAAAAAGAAAAATATTTTATCTTGATGAAACATGGATCAACGAGGTCATACACCAAATAAATGTGTGGCAGGATGAAACTGTTACAAGTCAAAGGCACGCTTTTGTAAATAACTTATCTACTGGTTTAAACCCACCATCAGGAAAGGGACGCAGGCTGATAATAGTACACATTGGCAGTTCAGACGGTTTTGTTGAAGGTGGTTTATTAATTTTTGAATCAACGCGTACCGGTGACTACCATGAAGACATGAACGCTGATGTCTTTCAAGAATGGTTCAAACAAATGATAGATCTTCTTCCTAAGAACTGTGTAATAGTAATGGATAATGCAAGTTATCACTCCAGACTTATAGAAGGACTGCCCACAACCAAGTGGTGTTAAAAAAAGACTTGCAGAATTGGCTGAGTTCAAAAAATATTACGTACCATCCCGGATCTATAAGAAAGGAACTTTATTCGTTGTGTGCCCTTCATAAAGAAAAATTTAAAAAATACGAAATTGATGAAATTGACAAAAATCGTGGAATGACAGTACTTAGATCCCCACCATATCATTGTGAATTAAACCCGATTGAACTGGTATGGGCACAGATAAAGAGTGAAGTTTCAAGAAAAAATACCACTTTTAAAATTCATGATGTTAAACAGTTATTTTTGGAGGCCGTAAATAATGTAAAACCTGAAAACTGGAAAAAGGCAGTCAATCACACTATTAAAGAAGAGGAAAAAATGTGGAAGCTGGACAATATTACTGATAAAATGATCCAGTCAGTTATTATAAATCTTGGTTCTGAAAGTTCATCTTCTGAATCTGATTTGGATTTGTAACAAGTAGCTGTAAGTTTTATATTAATATTTTTATTCATCTATTTAACATACCTTAGACGGTTTTAAAAACTCTTTTTCTCTTTTGTAATTTTTAAAAATTAAAAAAAATGTGAATTTTTTGAAACCCTTTTTAATGTAGGCCCGTCAGTTCTAATATAGTGTGTGATAAAAGAGGTCACTTTTGTTTACATACACATAACACTTTATAACACTGAAACAATTCATTTATTTTTTACAATTATTCAAAGTAATTTTTCAATTAATCTTGAGCACGCCCTATGGAGTGGTCGGAAGTACCAGTTAAAATTATGCTAATTACTCTCTCGTTCATAAAAATAAACTATAATTGTTTATTCCAAAACTTTCTTTACGTTCTGGATGACCAATGTAGTGTTTAAATATTAAATATAAACAATTTTTTTTTTCATTGAAGCTATTTGTTTTTGAATTATTTGTTTTCTTTAATTGCCTATATCAATATTTAACATTTGTTTTAGATACGATAATGATGAACTGTACTGTTTTGAACTAAATACGACTGGAAAAACTAGAGGTGGGCACATCTACGGTACAAGAAACAGTGCTGAAAGAAGGATATGGATTCAATTCATTTGTGAATCTTTGACACATAGGTTCTCATCAAAAATAACTACAAATATCAATAGAATGGGATGGGCCTATGTTAGAGAAGGTAATAATTTGTTCTATGTGAATAAATGTACGGATAACTGTTTTTCTTCTTTTCTTTTCAATTTTAGTCTCAATTATTTCCTTAGATGTCATATTTCCCTTCTTATACTTGACTATCAATTATACCTTTTGTAATTTTCACGGACCTTTTCATGCCGATTTCATTGTATTTACTTGGTTGGGCCGTCCTTACATCTTTTTCTGGGATGGCCCACTGATCTTCTACCGACTGGCCTCTCAAAAACACTGTCTTCAGCCCTCTGTCTTCCTGTGATCTTACCATTTTTCCTGACCATCTTATCCGGTTAGATTTGTCCATTGTATTTTAATAATCACAGATAATAACTAAAAATTCATTATAAAACGATAAACTCTGGTTTATCACCACAAACTTCAACCGCACAAAGTACATAATACTCACAAAATGCAACACATAAACTCCCGTCAGCACGGCCTATGTAAATGAAGCTTTCTTGCTTCGGCACGTGCGGTGGTGTTACACTGCGAAACCTTTTAAAAATTCCCAGGTTGCCGTGTTTGAAAAGGAATGGTAATGACATGTAAAATATCGATTTTTATTTGGTATTTTTATGACGGTAATAATCGATGCGCCTAAGAACTCAGGTTTGTATGACCATAAATTCTACCTGTGAACAAGAATCGGCTACACTGTCCCCTATAGAAAAGCACAAATAAATGTACTAATTATACATTCTGTGATTTCTTATGCGAAAATACAAATTGAGCGGGTAGTTTTCGAGGGGCGCTGTGTACATTTAAATTTGAGGATATTCGGCGTTTAAACGATGAATCACTTTTCCAAATAGTGGAATTTTACATTTTTGTTTATATTTTAAAAAAATGTATATTTTACATCGTTTATTAATTCTAATGTACTTATGTTCTATTTAAGGTGTGAGTGGTAAATGGGCAGGTGCCTGGATAGTCCTAGCTCAAAGAGAATTTAGCTATGCGATAGATGGCCAACCTGTAAAACACATGGATTTAAGAAAAGCTAGATGTATTGTGTTGCAATCTTATGCGGATGGTGAGAATCCCAGAACTAATGATAAGGGTCCTAATATGTTAATAGACTGTCCGAATATGGCCTTGTATTTAAGAATGTGGACTTCAAGAGAGACTAAGGTAATGTATTTATAAATCCTTTTCAATAATTGTCAGCTCTAAATCGTTAAATATGCGCTTCAGCGTCTAGATTTAAAATAAAAAAAGACAAACATCATTGTCTATCACACAAAACTTTTGGCATTCAATCTGTGTTGTAGACTATTTAAAAACTGCAATGTAGAATTTTAATGAAGTTTTAGTTTTAGCTTAGATTTTAATTGCACGAAAATTTTTAGGTTTGGTGTCACATAGTAAAATTAGAAGCACATGATAATGGTGCCAAACTAGAGCAACACCAATTGACTAAGAATGACGTTCCTGTGATAGTTGAAAAATGTATTAATTTTATTTATGCTCATGGTAAGTAAAGTTTAAAAAACTGTTTCTGAAAAAAAAACAGTTAATCACAAAATATCTGCCTTTGGTACATACATTATACACTCTTATGTAAATCCTCCAAGGTGCTGAAGCGATTAAGAAAAGGTGAAAGGTCTTAATCTCAAATAAAAACCTAAATGTGTACCTGCACTTGGTAGAAAACGGCAGCATCTAATTGGATGGTCAATGCTGATAGGGACCGAGTGATTGCCGGTGTAAGCAACTACCACTTATGGAACAACGGCCTCTCGCGTATGATTTGGGAAGTGTTATTGACACTCTTCTGTCTTGTTGTCGAGAAATTACTGAAAAGCTAATGGGATACCACTTTATTCTCTCACCCACTGCCATAATACTCTAGGAAAATTACCAAGACTCATTCTATATTCAAAATCTAATATAAACAGAAAGAATAGAGATAACACAGAGATAAGCTTAAGTTATATTGATTAATGAAAAATAAGTAAGAAGGCCAACATCCTTCATCGTAGAAGTTGAACAAAGCAGTGAAGTTGAACGTTTTTAAAAAATCGATGACTGTTTGCTTTTCTTTTTGTTGTATCTGAAGATGATCATAATATTAGTATAATTTTTTTTATTGTAATAAATTGAATATAGGGAAAATGTTTATTAGGATACCCCTAAGGGAGTATGTTCACACCGCAGTTAAACTGAGTGGTATTCAAATAAGCTAATAACTTGAGTAGATTTAGAGTTAGACTTTGAATATTTTAATTTTTGCCAAAATTTAATTCTCTGAACAGCGATATTGTTGCCAGCGGTGCCAAGTACTGGAACTTACGGTACAGTTCGCTCTCAATCGGCAGTATTCTTCAAAGTAAGTTGATATTAGTTCTAATTTTCCATAAATGTCATTAAAAAAATCTACAGTCGATCCGCCGGATCTTTGCACAACGTCATTATTCTTATTATAGGAAATAAATCAAAACATGTGAGTCAAACGTATGTCGGCTATAAGAATTATTATAAAAATTAGAAAATGGCTAATATTACAATTGACGTTTTTATACTTCTTTTTTATTTCATTTATTGCATTTGGAAAACTGGGTACGTATACATTTATGAACGTGATTTTCCAGTTTTTGGAAACCTATAGGTTGTCCAATAACATCAACAGTAAATAAATATTTAAACCATAGTTATCAGAAATTAAAGTATTTTTATTGAATATAAGCAAATATATGGTGCTGACATATCGTCAGATGATGTTCCTGTTGTTGGTAAATATCGGTTTAGATTTAAAAAGGTTACAAAAAAGAATAGTAACAAAAATGCGATATGAGAAGACTAAAATGTAAGTAAACAAAAGAGACGTTTTTAAAGATCAGAGAAGAATATCTAATAGAATTAAAGAGAAAAAGAACAGTCAGATGAATGACAAGATACTGCAACTCATGGAAAAAAGAAAAAATCAAAGAACAACAAAAGAATGTACAACAATATTCACAGACAAATAAGAACACAAATACAAAAGGCCAAAGAAAATTGTTAAAATCACTTTAAATGAAATATTTCATATTGTCCGTTGACGTAGTTTTAGCTATATTTAAATGATTAATGTCAATTTAGAGGTTAAAAAAATATATTATTCGTTATTAGCTAATACATGAATTCTTACCTTAATAAATTGAACACGAAGGTAAGGGTTAGTCGTTATAACAACTGTTTGTTCAAAAATATGTATATTTAAAGTATGAAAAAGGATTGATTATTTAAATCAAACGAAAATAATTTATAAAAATATTACAAACTCTGTCAAAACAAAATTTCCAATTGTCATGTCAATTGTCAGTAGACGAATCAATCAGAGATCATTGTTCTATGGCTGTCTTTGTTCAATGCATGGTGTTGTGTATGGACAGGCGGTTTAAGTTAATAGTTTTAGTTTCTGTGAGTAGGAAAGAGACGTAGCATAAAAAATATATCGTCAATAATGTCATGCATGTGCAAAGATCCGACGGACCGACTGTACCAAGGCGTCTATATTGTCTTCACTCACCATTGTTAGAACCTCTATGTATATGTCGTCTGGGTCTGCTGCTTTTCCCCATTTGCTCTGTTTGATTGCTCTTACAACTTCTGACTTCAATATTTTGGGAAGGGTTCACTTTTATATTCACTTTCAGAGTTTCTACTAGTGTTGTCTGATTATAGTTGCTGTGTGTAATTTATCCAATGTTGAAGTAGATCCTTGGGATCAGTAATTAATTTATTCTCCTTAACAATACTGTTAAAACTGCAAGGTTTTGTATGACCTGCCACTTATTTAACAAGTTCATTGTTTTAAGCTGTTTATATCAATTTTCTTTATGGGTGTTTTTTTAATTTTCTTAAGCTTAATTGTCAATTTTCCCACTACGGGATTGTGATCAGATCCGATATCTGTTCCAGGGTACGTTTTTACACCTTGCAATCTATTTCTGTATCTCTGATTAATCAATAAAAAGTCAATTTGATTTCTTACGATGTTGTCATGCGTATGTTGTGGAGATTGCCAGGTGTAGAGTCTCCGAGTTGACAGTTTGTACCAGATATTCGCAATGACTTATTTTTCTTCTTGGCAGAACTGGATTAGCATATCACTTCTCTTGTTTCGATCTCCCAAACCAAAGTCACTTACGACATCTTCAACACGTCCTCGCCCTACCTTCGCATTGAAATATCCCATGATTATAAGTGTCTGGTTCTTCTTGATCAGTTTGCTTACCTCCTTAATCTCTCTTTACTTCATTATCTCATAATGTTTTACTTCATTTTCAGGCTTGTCCAAGATTGGTGCATAGATTTATGTAATGTTAAGGTCAACAGGATCGGCTTGGACTTGTAGTAGTGCTGCCCTATCTGAGTATGCCACGTAGTTCCTTACTGATTGTTGTTTGAGGCTTTGTTAACTAGAAATCCAACTCCGTTATATTGGTGGGGTAGGTTATTTCCTGAGTAACATAGTGTCGCTTTTTCTTTAGTATATTTATCACTGTTGGTCGCATCGTTCCATTTCTTGTATTATGTTGTCTAGTTTACCGGCGCGCGGCGGTCTAAAGACTTTTAACGTTCCAAGTACCTAGTTTTAGCTTTAGGGTTTGTTCCCACTTTCGGGTGGTTCCTAGCATTGTTTTTCTTCGCGGAGATTCTTAGCACCCTTTGGCCACTTAAGGTCTGCCACGGACTAGGGGCCGTTGCTTGCAATGTCTTTTCCTTCCTTGTCTTTCTTGGGATATCTTTGGGGACCTTTAATACGGTGGTTCCCCATTGCCTTCAGTATTCTTATGCCGTTGACATGCTTTGTTCATCCGCCTTTTAGATACAGTTTCCCACCCTAAGGATAAAAGAGTGCCCTGTCTCACGTATGCTCATCCGCCCTATATCCAGAGACCGTTGGCAAGGTGAGTGGAATCGCTTATACCGGCGATCATTCAATCAATCGGAGGTCGCGACTTCCGCCATTCTCGCCGTACCGAAGGTCCTCCTCCGCCGTGATTGCCGTTCTGGTCTTCCTCCACAACCCTGGACAAGGGACCCTAAACAGGTACTAGTTCCCCGGGTCAGGGACCACCTGGAATCTGTGGAGGGCAGGGACTGATTTATTTTCCCTGATATAAAAAATTCACTAAAAACTTTATTTATAAAGGTTTTCTAGTCACTCACCCCTCTTTTGCACCCATTGGAGAGAGTTGATAAAAGAAGAACCCTATGTGGGGTCAATAAGTCTTCTTCTTATATTCCTATAGGCGTTGGATAGGGGTTCCGTACCCACTTTTACTTAATTCTTCTATCAAGATCATAATTCACCAAAGTTATCAAAGAATCCTGCATGATTTTTCGACATTCCGTTATATTTGTTTATTTGCCACTTATATTTTGATAAAAAGTTTGGTTTTCTCTGTAAAAACTTTTTTTTGTAGGTAGTATGGCTGAAGGTATTTACCGCAGGCCCGGTCAAGGATCGGCGATTTCAGAACTGTTAACAAAATTTAGGAAAGATGCATTTGCAGTGCAATTAACAAACGACTTATGTACCGAACACGAAGTAGCGACAGCACTGAAGAGATTCTTCCGAGATTTGCCAGAACCCCTTTTAGGTAGCAACCAAAGGCAATATCTCTATGAGGTTTCGAGTAAGTTTTATTAAATAATGCTTTTAAATACTATTAAATAAGTACTTAGGTACTTACTACAAAAAAAAAATGAAAGTTGTAGAATACTGGCGATTTATTTCTCAACATAGTCTCCTTTTAACTGGATACACTTGACCCAGCGATGTTCCAACTTTTTAACCCGTCTGAAAAATGCATTTTCTCGAAACATGCAACAATTACCTTCTCATTCGACTCAAATTACTCCCCGGCGAATAACTTTGTTAAGTTTAAAAACAAAAAGAAGTCACATAGGACGAAATCTGGAGAATACGGTGGATAGGGCCGTACTTAGTAGCTCCGATTTGACCAATTTGGCTGTGTGGAGACAGTGCAGCGGAGGTGTGCGCCGGTGCGTTGTCATTGTGCAAGAGCATTTTTTTCTTCGTCAAATGGGGCCATGTTTTCTGCAATTCAGTGTCGAATTGGTCCAATATCTTGGTATAGTAGAGCCCTGTGACTGGTAGTTAACCTAGATCACACCTTGTGAATATTATCACAAGCCATCACCTTTTCGGCCGTCAGAACAGTATTCGTCTTCTTCGTATCACGTTCACCGGGTTACCGGGTTAAGTTCGTTATTTCGACTATTCCTTGGCATTTGGTGTGTACCTGTAAATCGACGTTTCGTCGACTATATCGAAACGACGCAAAAATCCTTTGGATTGCGCTTATGACTGCTCTCAAGTGATCTCACGGTTGCGCTTGTTGTCTGCAGTGAGCAAAGGCGATACCCATCGCGCTTACAGCTTCTCATGTCCAAATTTTCATGCAGGAAATGACCCATGCGGTCTTTTGAAATGCAAATGAGATTGCCAATACAAGATCGTTGATTATTATCACGTTATTCTTCGTTGAAGACATTTTTGGAGCACCCGGACGAGGCCCATCAAAACCCGACGTACGACCACAATCGAATTACCGAATGATGTTGTTCGTTTTCTATTTTTCTAAAATCCGTGGACACGCTCGAGTGAATTTCTCTTGCGGTAGTGGCGTCATCGGATGGTGACGCTTATCGGGCCGCCCCCGTAAATGTTTCAGACATTCCCACAATAACGATATATTATAATATGTTTATTTTTCAGAGCACAAAAACAGAGAAGAAAAAATAAGAATGTATAAAGCCGCTCTAGACCAGTTACCTCGTATATCTTATAATACTACCAGAAAACTGATAGGGCATTTACACTTTATCAGTTCACAAAGTGCCAAAAACTTAATGACAGCTGAAAATCTTGCCAGTATATGGGGACCGACTTTATTGCATTATGAGGTATGTCGTGTAAATGTAGATTCAAAATCAGCCACATTTTATTTAAGTGATTTGAGTTACATTTTGAAGCAAGCAATTCACACTTAAAATACTTCCAATTATTAATGAAACGTCCTGTATATATATTACAATAATTGTACCAAATACATATGTCATAAGATTCTATCAAATATTTATATTTTCTCTTAGGATCCCGAAGGTGATATAAATGTAAACCATAGTCATCAACTTGATACAGAAGTGGTAGCTCAATTGATAAAATACTATCGGTATATTTTCCCCGAAGATCCAGGAGATTTAGAGAAGGAGAAACATATGTTACGAGTCTTGGAAAAGTATTCAAAAGCCCAACAGAGTAAAGTATCAGAAAAATCAGCAGGTGATTTAAGGATATGGGTGTATCTTCACAACAAAGAAGGACAATCTTTTAATGTTTCGGTAAGTATTTTTTAAATTAATAAAACTACATAGCGTTAAACAGGCACTACAGTAGTGTAATTTATTACAAGACTCACAATGACCTATAGAGCCAGGAAGAAAAAGAATATGCTCTGCAGTGACATCACTAACCACCACTCAGCAACAAGGCAAAAAAAGTCAGAGCTCTTTACTTATGTATATTCTGATCTTCATTAACTATAACTTAAGATGTTTTTAACTTTTATTTTAGATCGGTCCTAATAAAACGGCATATGATTTGTGCAAAGAATTGTGCCAGCAAATGAGACTTCTCGTGCATGAACTGGTAGTTGAAGAGGTTATTTTAAATGAAAAATTGATTAGACCAGTTCATCATCAAGAAAAGGTAAGTCATGTTATATTAATTAATATAATTATTGTATTTTACCATGATTTATGAAAAGAAATCAGACCAATTTTGTCCAACGCGACAAATCCGGTATTCAATACATCTAATGCACGCCAGACACACTACGGTCTACCGGGGAGGTCTACCTGTGCAGGTATGCCTGTACAGGTGAAAACATTCTCATCCTTCAGTCGTTCTTGAAGGATCTTTTTGGACCCGCTGTAGTCATTATCCCTTTCTTCTAGTTGTTCACTTAACTATTTTACTGATAGTTCTGCAAACCGCATCTTTGGTCAGGCACGCACGTACTCTTTTTAAATGTTAAAAATTAAAAAGTTCCAAGTTTAACCTATTATATGAGAGAGTTATAACTTACATATCAGGCACAAGAAGGCTCTTTTAGTATGGATACTTATATAACTCACCACCACCCTAGATGTATCCAGATTTGGGAATATATGTCTCCATATATTATGTGACTATACCATACCGTAATTTGTATGTAGTAGTCAGTTTTTTCTCCACTAGTATATATCATACCATTAAGTTGTGGTTGCCTTCGACAGTATCGCCGACTACCGTTTCATAACCGGGCGCGCTGTGTATTTTGTACACAAAACACATTTTAGTTGATTTTACCAAATTTAGTGCGTTTTAACAAAATGACAACCACGATTTACAAAAATAGTTTATTGTTACATAAAATAATATACATAAAACATGTACCTACGGGTTACTTCACTCGATTTCTTCTGATTGCTGCCGTTCATTGTTCTTACATTTTACGCAGGTAATTGTGGTTTCTGAATGCATTTTACATACAAATATTCTACATAGCCCACATCTAACTGTTGTGCTGCAATTTTTTGAGCCTGGACATATTGCACAACGTCCACGTTTTCTAGAGCTTTGCACTTCTGTTCTAGTAGGTTCTTACATGATTTATATTTCATTAGAAAACCTTGAATATCCCGAGGAAGATATCGCATTGTCGCTCTTTCTGAAAGATGTACTTTCATTAAACTCAAGCTTAAATTCTTTAGAAAAATTCGGCGACATATTTTGGGATGTGTTTTATTGGCACAAAACAACACCTGCGCGTTGATACCCGCCATATCCATTAGAGAAAAAAATATAATTAGTGGCCATCTTCTGGTTATTCTTTTTACAGAATATGATGCACACATTTGGTCAATAGTATCCACACCGCCTTTTGTGGCATTATAATCTAGAATAATTTCTGGTTTTTAGTTTAGACGTCTACGGTGGCAGTGTCATGCATCGTGGATAAAAGTATGACCGACTTACTTTTTTTGGAACAAATGAAACCAAAGTGACATTTTTCTGGAATCCAAAGAGTAACGTTCCCACTTCTTTTTGTTTTTGGGGTAAAAATTCAATAGGTATTTCCCTTTTGTTTTTTCTCAAAGTGCCAATTGTAGTTATTTTATTTTCCAAAAGGGAAATAGTTAAAGGATAACTGGTATACCAATTATCGGTTGTCAAATTGCGATTTGAACCTTTTATATAATCAATAAGCCTATCTACAATATCACTGGGAGAGTTTGATACAGCATAAGGCCCCTCAGGTTGCCGTCCACAATAAACCTCTAAATTTCCAACAAAGTAAGTTTGTGCATCGCCCAAAATGAACAGCTTGATACCGTATTTTGCTGGTTTATTTGATGAATACTGGATGAAACTACAACATCCTCTGAAACCCTCTAGTTTTTCGTCTATTGTAACAAATTTACCAAGATTATAGGAATTTTTACAGTTACTAACAAATGCGTCCAATATATTTCTAATTGGTGGAAGTTTGTCATATATTTTCCTTTCATGTCTTGTGGTTTTGTCATCAAAGCGCATTGAACGTAACAAAAATAAAAATCTTTTGTAACTCATTACAGCTCTAATAATTTCTATACCTGTTCCATCAGATGTCCAAAGTTCAAGTGCGTTAGTATGGTTAGTCTTTTTAGTGCCTAGGAGGTAAAGCACTCCCAGTAACGCCATTATTTCACTTTTTGAAGTATGTTTTATATCTCGTTCTCTTTTATATCGAACAGATTCTTTTTTACTATCAATGTACAAATTAGTAAATTGTACGATGTTCGTTAATATATCAGAATCTATAATTTTTTCAAAAGCTGAAAGTTCTGAGGTCACTTTTGAAGCCACTGCCTTTGGTCCTGGAAGTATTTTGATAATGTTTTTCTTTTTAATTTTTGATTGCGTCGACAGCGGAGTCTTACGCCATGCAGTTTTTTATCTTTACCTTGAAAATATTCGAAAGCAGTCGTACTTACTGCAGTATTATCCTCGAAGTTACTGGCTCTGTCGTGGTCATTATGTTCTTGTTCAGATTCAGAATTGTGGTCATTATGGTGTATTATTTCTTCATCTGTCTCAGATTCATCGGAATATTCTATTTCACTAGTTTCTGTTTCTGGGTCTTCATTAAGAATTTTATATAACTCAGCCTCAGTTAAAAACTTTCTAGCCCTGCAAAAATAAAAAAAAGTAACACACAAATAATATAACAATGCAACTAAATTCTTACATAATATTCTCTCAGCGTAGCAGTTATATTCCTTCTCAATTATGTTACAATATCCTGTTCAACCTAAAATAAAGTAAAACTAAAGTTAATTTGACTTTAGTTTCGAATTACATTTGTTTATAAAGTAAAATAATTAATGGATAAAATACTTACACTAGAAGGCGCGCCGTGTATTATGTACACAAAACCGTCACACTCTCCTATTTCTAAGAATTCTCACAAAACTCAGCTGCAACAAAAAATATTACTCAACTATTCAAACGACAGATCTCTACTGGACGAATAGACGCGACGATATCGCCAGATTGACGACACTTCTATTTTTAGACGACTTTTTCTATTGGACGTGTACAAAATACACGGGCGCGCCCGCTTGAGGGTTAATAATAGGAGTAAAATGTTTAATTAGTGTCACTAATCACTACATAAATCTATTTCCTTGTATATAATAGTCGAATATTAGTATTCTACTTTTTAATTGTCTTTCAGCTATTGGACGTTGTGTTAAAATGGGGCTACTGGGACGAGCAAGATAGAAAAGACAATTACTTGACAGTAGCTCCACTGTCAAAATATTGGGAGTATATTGTAGATAAACGATATCCGGTCTCAGGTGAGATGAGATTTGCAGATAGCAAAACAAGACTGTGTAAAATGTTAACGTTCCAATTTTCTCAAGGAAAATTAACATGTTTTAAAGATAAATCGGTAAGTTCTAACTATTTATTAGATCTCAGTAATTCAAATATTGAAGCTGCTATTGTATTTTGCAATACTTAAATATTAATTAATTGATTTCGTTGGTTCGTGTTTGTGTATTCTTCTTTCATCATGTATGTCAATAGTCATCATTCATGCGAATCAAGGATATTATGTTTATATTTATTGCTATTAGAAACGACTCCCCAAAAGTAGATATTCTTCTTCTTCAAGTGCCGTCTCCATCAATGGAGGTTAGCGGTTATGGTGGCAAACGTTTGTCTATCTTCAGCTGCTCTTAAGAGTTCCTCAAATCCAAGTCCTGTCCAGTTTCTGATATTACGTAACCAGGACAATTTTTTTCTTCCAATTCCTCGCTTTCCTTCTATTTTGCCTTTTATTATTAACTGAGGGATGTAGTATTTCTCGTTGCGCAACAAATGCCCTAAATAACTGGTTTTTCTTCTTTTGACTGTTCTCAATAGTTCTTTTTCTAAATTGAGTCTAGCTAGTACTTCTTCATTTGTTTTTCGTGCAGTCCAAGGAATTTTTAAAATTCTACGGTACACCCACATTTCAAATGCCTCGATTCTATTCAGGCTCTTTATTTTTAAAGTCCACGTTTCGACTCCGTAGAGAAGAACAGACCAGATAAAACATTTTACAAGTTTTAATCTCAATTTAATATTTATATGTGTATCGCAGAATAGAACGCGCATCTTAAAGAAACTATCCCTAGCTTGAGCAATTCTCGCTTTAATTTCTTGTTCTGGGTCCAGCTTGCAATTAATCCAACAGCCAAGGTATTTGTATTGGTTTACCTGTTCTAAAATATTCCCATTTATTTTTATAGGTAAGGGGATATTCTGTTTTCTTTGGATCACCATTACTTTTGTTTTTTTTTTTCGTTGATCTTCATTCCAAACTCTCGACAAGCATCCTTAAGGTGGTCTATAACCCTCTGTAAGTTTGTGTCTGTATCAGCCAGTAGGACAGTGTCATCTGCATATCTTATGCTAGATATTGGTTCTCCATTAATTTTTATTCCTGTGGAAAGGTTTTCCAAGGCTTGCTTGAATAGTAGTTCCGAGTAAAGATTGAACAGCATAGGGGATAGTATGCATCCTTGCCTTACTCCTTTATTTATACTAATATTTCTAGATGTATGATCGTCGATCCTAATCTTGGCACTCTGCCTCCAATATAACTTCTTAATTAATCGGAGATCTTTACTATCCAAGTTGATGCTCTGCAAGGAATTTAACATTTTATTATGGTTTACGCGATCGAATGCCTTTTCAAAGTCTACAAAACATAGAAAGACATCCTTTTGTTGGTCGTAACACTTCTGCAGCAGTAGTTGTAGTGAAAACAAGGCCTCTCTGGTCCCCATTCCGGCTCTGAATCCAAATTGATCGTATCCAACTTCTTTTTCACACCTTTTGTATACCCTATTGTGAAGTATTTTTAATAGAATTTTAAGCACTTGTCTCATAAGACTTATTAATCTAAAATCTGCGCATCGCCTGGAGTTAGCTTGTTTTGGAATGGGAATAAAAATAGATTCTAACCATTCCTCTGGTATTTCCCCAGTATCGTAGATTGTATTAAACAAAATTACTAACAAATCAATGTTATTACTTTCGATCAATTTAAGTATTTCAGGATAAACTTCATCAGGTCCAGGGCTTTTGTTGGTCTTTAATTGTTTAATGGCATATTCCACTTCGACTTTTAGAATTGGTGGGCTTTCAGTAACATTATTTATTGTAATGTCTATTCTTTCATCTCGGAACAGCTGTTGTATAAATTTTTCCCATTCTTCTATTTTATCTTTGGTGTTATGAATTAACTCTCCGTTGTTATTTACCAGTGGGCAATGTTGTTTTTTGTGGATGAATGAAAATTCTTTCACCTTCTTGTACATATTAAAGTAATCATGTCTATGTTCTAATTCTTCTATTTCTTTACATTTTTCTTCGAGCCATTTCTCTTTTGATTCTTTTATTTTCCTTCGTATTTCTGTATTTAATCGTTTGTAATCGATGGTGTTCTTATTTTTGTATTTCCTCCTTTCGTCTATCATCTTTAGAATAGCTGGTGTCATCCAGTCTTTTTTTGCCATTAATCGTGTATTAGGAATTTCTTCCTTGGAAGAATTGACGAGGATGGATTTTATTTGTTGCCAAGTTGTATTTATATTTTGGATATTTATTTGGGTTCGGTCTATTTCTGAGAGTTTTTCATTTAGTTTTACAGTGGTTTTATCTTTAATCTGTACATCTCTTAGTAGTTCCATATTAGGTTTGTTCTTCGGCTTTGCATTTTTTATTACTTTAATTCTTGTGCGAATATTTGCTACTACAGGGTTGTGGTCGGAATTTGCATCAGCACTAGGATATGTTTTTGTACTTGTAATGGAGTTACGAAATCGTTGGTTGATTAAAACATAATCTATTTGATTTCTTATTATTCTTTCTTTTGTGTGTAGCGGGGAAGTCCAGGTGTATAACCTACGTTGAGGTAACTTAAACCAAGTGTTTGTTGCTATCATATTGTGTTGCTGACAAAACTCTAATAGTATGTCTCCTCTTTCATTTCGTTCTCCTAGTCCGTATTCTCCTACGATATTTTGGAATTTCCCTCTCCCTATTTTAGCGTTAAAATCTCCTAGGACGATGTTAATATCTTCTTTCTTTGTCAATTTCATGTGCCATGTGTCAATTTCAAAGTGGATATCATATGCCTAAATGGACTTCAAAATGACGTCGAAGACAAGCAGTTTGTTTCCTAGAGACAACTTATTTTTTTGCAGACAATCAAGCGGAGTTGGCTTAACTTAAGACCTGTTTCCCGTTGGAATTTAATCTTCTGGACAACATCATTATCATGATAAATATTAAATACTTTTTTTAAATTCCATTACCTAATTTAAAAAATAAGGTTTTTTAAATTATCTATACAAATGACATGGATTTTCGTTAAATTTCACTTATTTGTAGTTGATTTAGTAAATTCAAATTTATTAATAATTATTTTTGTTAATTATTAGGGAGAAGTCATTTTACATTCTTGGAACATAGAGGATATAGTGTGGTATCTAGGACACGAATCAAAACGAAGCACACAATCGAGATGGACCATTACCTTTATCGACGTCAAGGTACAACCTGTAAGAACAAAGAACTCTACGTTCTTCGGATCCGTAATAGTTTGGAACGACGCCGCAACAAGAGCCAATTGGCTTAGCGCTATGTTGAACGCAAGGTATCCAAATAATGTGACACCTCCTCCAAGTTTGGTGTCCATTTAATAAGAGAGGGGAAAAGCTTTAAGAAGACGGGAAGCACGTGATGTTTGGAGATTGGTACTGAAATTAAACCAAAAATATCGAACAAAATTATTAAATTTTCTCTTTAACTCTCATCTAAGAATTTGCAATTATATTTCTAATTAATTATTCAGTGTTATAAAGCTCAATATTAACACTGAACTAAACCATTAAGGACTATATACAGAGTTGGGATAAAGTATGGAATCAACCAAGATGAAATTTATGAAAATTGTCATGCAAGCACTATGATACAACGCATCTGATGCTATTCTCTACTTTCAGTTTCACCAAAAATCCCCTTAACTTTTTTCATTTAAATAATACAACTCTTGTAATCCCCTGTATTCTACAGGGGATTGGTTGACGTAGAGTTGACTTTCTGTTATCCTTTTCTTGCTAATTATCATAAGCTTTGTTTTCTTAACGTTTATATTGAGTCCACTTTGTTGACTGTAATATGTGATTTTGTTCATAAGAACTTGTAGGTCTTCTAAGTTGTCCGCAAATACTATGGTATCATATGCATATCTGATATTGTTTAGTCGGTAACCATTTAGTAGAATACCTTTTTCAGTTTTGTGCAAAGTTTCCATATGAATTATAACAAACTGAAAACTTCAAATAGATAATCTATTTGAAAAATACAGGAAGGTTGGACAAATTTTTTTTGTTTTTTATATGGGTAACTTAAAAAGTATTGTCCTATGTATTGAATTAGATTGATTTTATAAAAATGTCTTATATTTTGGAGTGAGAATCTAAAAACTAACAAGCAATAACTTTCTTAACTTGCTGGCAAGAATTTAAAAAAAAATGTAACTATTTTTTTATCGTAAAGAAAAAAAACTTGTTGGTGTTTGAAGAATCTTGAAGGTTCCTTACATTCTTTCGACTAATAATCTTTGTTATTAAACTTTATATTTGTAGAATATAATGAGCTTCCACTATTTATACCTACCGTTAAAAAATCGTCTATTATAATCAATTCACCGCCAAGAAAAAGAGTGCCTAAACAATTACAATGAACATATACTGTCCTATCTCATGATACTGTTCACCTACTCTCTCTACAGCAGTGGTTCTCAAACTTTTTTAGTCGCCTAAAAATATTTCGAGGCACACCAACCCTTGGAGCGATTTGGGAAATGACAAAAATGAAAAAAATACAATTCTGAGGCTCATTTGATTTCAATATAAACTTTATTTTAGAGCATTAAAATACAGTACATTTGATATTCAAATATCCTTACTTAATGTGATGAATGAAAATGTTCCGATGTTTTCATTATATCCTTAATAATTATGGGAATCTTTGTAAGTTTGACCCTCAAATCCCTTGATGCTTGAAGTTTGCTTCTGTATTTGTTTTTAATGTAAGCATATGCGGAGAAAGAAGACTCACAGAGATAAATCGATGTGAAACACACACGTTTTTCCACTGCAACATTGCCAACAACATTATTTTCTGAATATACCTGCATCCAGAAAACTCTTCTTGGCTTCCTTTACGGTATTTGATCTGAGTCAATGTCAGGAAAATAGTTTACAATACTTTCTTTTAAACCTTGCAAATGAGCAGTATCAATTTCAAAGAAGTTCGTTTGAAGATTTATTTCATTTGTTATAACAAAGTCCTTTAATCGAGAGAAATTTGTGTGGTTCCTCTCTTTAACACATGCTTTGAAAAATGTAACTTTTTTATGCAAAGCTTTGATTTTATCTAATTGTGCTCCTGCTTTGCTTTGAAGCGAAGTCGTGGTTTTATTTATTATTTCGAAGATGTCTGAAAGGTATCCCAATTTTAGCAACCAATTGACATCTTTTAATTCATTCAATTCAATTAATGTGATAATAAATGGATTTTTTAGTTCAAATAGTCTCCCCAAAAATGGTCCCCTCGATAGCCACCGGACCTCTGTGTGGAGCAACAGATTGAAGTGATCCATACCCATATCTTCAGCGGTGAGCTTTAAAAGGCGTGCTTGAAGCGGACGGCTCTTCACATGGTTAATTATTTTTACAGAACCATGCAATACGTCTTTCAAATCATGCGGCATCTTTTTAGTTGCCAAAGAATGGCTGTGTAAGATACAATGACTGCTGGAGTTATTTTCTGTTGCTACCTTTATTCTAGACACCGCCTTTCTAATTTTACCAACCATTGCAGCCGCTCCATCACTACAAATATCCACACATTTACTCCACTCTATATTATTTTTTCTTATATACTCGTGGATAGCCTTGAAAATTTCTTCATCAGTGGGATATCTTTTAAGCTCTTCACTCATAAGGAGTTCTTCTTCTATTTTCATCTCGAATGGAAACCTCACAAACAGAAGCAGAACAACAAGTCCAGCAACGTCGGTACTTTCATCAAGCTGTAATCTGTAAGTTTTTAATCTATTTATAAGCTCTTTCTCTCTCTCTCTCTCTCTCTCTCTCTCTCTCTCTCTCTCTCTCTCTTTAAAGTCTGAAATAGTGTGAATTCTCTTGCTTATAATGCTGTTTAACATCGGCACATTATTAATCTTCTTGGTCATATCTGGACCTAACATGCTTTGTACGGCATCGTTCACGCAAGGTTTAATCAGTTTGTCGGCAATGGTATCGGATTTTCCATCATTTGCAATTGTGCAAAACAAATCAGGATGATTACTTTCCAAATGTCTTTTTAATTTAGATCACCTGTTAGCAAGAATTTTGGCCTTCTGGTGCCTGAATTCCAATTACGTCATCACTTTTCTTCTGCAGTTATATCTAAAAACTTCGACTTTGAAATCTAACTCTAATTTTTACAAAACTCACTTATCGGCTGCAAGAATAAAACTATGGAATGACTGCAGATAGTCGAATTCGGCTGTTTGTTTCTCGGTCGCCATCGAGAATACACAAGTACAAAGAGTACCACCCTTGGCAAATGCTTTAGGCACCCCTGGGTGCCGCGTCACCCATTTTGAGAACCTCTGCTCTACAGCTATTTTACGACCATTCCGCGAATGAATATTCTATCGAAAAGAAATTCGGCGCCCATTTTCTTATCTGTGAATAGTTTATAAATATAATCAAGTAGATAACTACAGCTAAACAGATTTAACTGCAACGGTAACGATTTGACACGACCAGACACGACAGACGTTGGTTGATGCGGTGTTGCCTAATCGAATATTGTTTTAGAAGTATTGAACTGTAATATTAATACTCTATAATTACTGTAATATAGTAAATACAGTTTATAATTATATTTATTATCAGAGCACTAATATCACAGTTAAAATGTTTGAGGTAATTGATAAAATATGTTGTTTGCTGAAGTCATAATCATTAAAATGAACATATTGAGAATTGCAATATTTAGTTAAAATAAATTGTTTCCAAGGGTTGTGGAAATAAGCTTATAAAAATAGATTCTCTTAGAACTTCTTAGTTTTTAATATGAAAATTCAACAAACAATAACTATTTCACGAATTACGAAGTTATCTGACAACGTAGAAAACGCGCCAAAATTTATGTTCAATGTTAAGTATATGGATGTTTAAGGTTCGGGTGCTTGCATATAACTGACTATTGAGTCCTCCCTTTATCAACGAAATGACCTTGAACGTTGCAGCTATATCTGTTGAGTTATACTATAGATAAAGTCACGTTCAGATGGCAGTGTACGGATATAGGATAACAGCGTTGCCAATTCTACTGCCATTGTAAGTTTTGCTACTTTTGTAAAATAAGCAGGGCCAAACTCACGGTAAACTAAGATATGTTTAGGTAAGCTAAAGTTGTTAATAGAAAATTCGTGAATGAAATAAATGGTAATAATTCCAAAAATGCTTTTATACATAATACCGCAGTTAATAGGGAAAAAATATGAAAAATATTCTACAGGTTTTTTAATGTTCTAAACGGTAGATAAGGGATAACTGATAATAATTCTTTGAAGAATTACAGCCAATTTTGCTTTGTTTATTTTTTAAAAAAAGATGAAGTTTGGAAAAAATCATTTTTTTGCCTATTTTGTTCCTCGTGCATTTTAGGGAAAAATGTTTCAAATAAATGTTGCAGATCTTAAAAAGTTTTTTAATTTTTTAGTTTGTAAATTAAAATACGTAAACAAATGACTGAGATAATTGCAAAAAACCCCTAATTGAGGCCCCTAGAACACAAGGGTGTAAGTGCAGTTGCTTATCACTTAGCAACTGATATCTAACAACAGGCACGTACTTTTGGCTTCAAACTTTTTACATTAACAACAATAACACCATCAAAATTACATGTCATTGAAACATGCTGAAAACTGAAAAAGTGCTACCTAGGTTTTAAATTTATATCGAACTTTGAACAAAGATTTTTCAAAACTTTGTTTTTTGGCACTTACACCCCTTGTGTTGTAGGAGCCTCAATTGTGCACTAATTTATTAAATGTTCATAACTGTATTTTTTGCATAATGACGTCTAATATAACTACTTGAAATTATGTCGATTAATGAGTTATTTAAGTGTGCTACATTTCAACCAGATCAACTAAATATATTATTACCTTTACTGAGAAAAGAATACCCCCGAAAAACAATTTTTCAATCATCTTCATTTTCATAATCTAGTTCATACTTTAGAGTCATCGTTTAATGAAATTCTAATAGGTTCAATGTCATCTTGAATGTTGTCTACTGTCCAAAAATTATTCTCCAATTTTATAATATGGTTGACGTAATTTTTCCAATGTCCATTGTTCTGTACTTTATAATAACCTTCATAAATCAATGTTTTAACGTCGTTCAATGTCATCTTGAATGTTGTCTACTGTCCAAAAATTATTCTCCAATTTTATAATATGGTTGACGTAATTTTTCCAATGTCCATTGTTCTGTACTTTATAATAACCTTCATAAATCAATGTTTTAACGTCGTTTTTGTTTGAAACTTGAATTCTTAGAGGACACGTACCGTTTCACTTCACTCCACACCATTTCTATTGGGTTCAGTTCACAGTGATAAGGCGGAAGTCTTAAGATATGTACATCTACGCGGCATTGTTCGTCACTGTGATTCCTGTATTTTTTCACCAATACAATCAATTTTGTATTTGTCATAAATATTTTT